ATTGTTTCTAAAAATTCTAAATATAGACATAAAAAGTTTCACTTATTATTAAATTTATATTATTTATAGAATAAAAAATAAAAATATTTAAGAAATTATTAAGTTGATTTTAAATTTGATTTATTTTTATAATTTAAAAGATTTTTATTTAAAACATATATTAATATATATTTTATATTGTAAGATATAGAATTTTCTTATTTTTACTTTTATTGATTCGATATTTTTTTAGTTCTTTCACTAATCTCTTATGAAAAAATCATAAATTAAATAATTTTATTTAAAAAAATATACATATATATATATATTCAATTTAATAATATTAATCATATTAATATATATAAATAATCATATTAAAATATATAAAAATAAAAAAAGTATCAAAAGTAATTGCATTATAGCTTTTCAATAATTCTAATAATTGATAAGTTTCAAGCTAATAAAATGTTGAAATAATATTCCTATTGGACACAGCTTTTATCTATAAATCCTTAATAATAGCAAAATTGCAAATTCATTCTCATTTGAAAATGACTACGAATATACATACCATCATTATTGTTTTATATAGGTTACCATATGCCGATTTATTTGGCGGCGTATCAGCAGTGTCACGCGAACAGTTTCGACTGGTGAACGGATTCAGCAATGTATTCTGGGGTTGGGGTGGCGAGGACGACGACATGGCGAACCGAATCAAAGCGCACGGTCTTCATATCTCTCGATATCCGGCGAATGTGGCACGGTATAAAATGCTTACGCACAAGAAGGAAAGGGCTAATCCAAAGAGGTGAATTATTCAGTCATTTTGTATTTCCTAAACTTTTGTTTTAAGAGACACAACATTTTTTATCTTTATTTTTAGTTGTTTTTTAATGATAATTAAAAACATTTGATGAATATAGTCTGGAAAAAAGCTTTTTCAGAATTTATAAGTTTAAGAGTTATGCGTATGTGAATTAAGAATCGTATTGAAATAATATCACTGATTTCATCGATCGAAATTCACCAATACTTATTTTAATGAATATTTATAATAAAAATATATATTTATTAATAAAAATAACGAATATTATCAATTAATATTGTTAATAATATTGTAATATTTTATATCTATAATGAGATTCGATATTGGTATAATTATTTTGACTGCCATGATTCCATAATCTGTTCAATTTTTGCTCATTTTTTCTAATATCTCCTTATTTTTTATATTATTATATTTTATATTATTTTTCATAATGTTGTTAATTACAAAATAATTAATACACATATGATTATAGAATGAATTTAAGAGAATTAATTTAATTTAAGAGAATTTAAGAGAATAATTTTAGAAAGATTAATTTAAGAGATAGAAGTTAGAAGATAGAATTAGAAAAAAAATCTTTAAATATTATAATTCAAAGTAAATCTCAAAATCTAATGCACAATTAAAATTGAAACAATTAAATAGATATATCGATAGATATTATATCGATCAATGGCGATCAAAGTAATTCATAAAATATAATTTCTATAATTATTAATACACTACTAATATGATGGATTCCTGAAATTGAAAATATTTTCAAACTTGATTCATTGAATATAATAAATGAACATAAAAATAAATAAGAAATTTTCTATCCCTTAAAATGAAATATAATCATTTTTTGTTATATGCAAATATAATTTTTTATTTTTAAATTTTTCAATTTTCACAGATACGAGTATCTAAAAACAGGTAAAAAAAGATTCGCTACGGATGGGCTGAGCAATCTTCAATACGAGCTGATCGATAAACAAAAACCAAAATTGTATACGTGGCTCTTGGTGAAGTTGACACCTCCGCAACCTAGCTGATGGCTATCTTGGATCGGATAACGAACCGAAGAGATCGAAATAGCTTAAAAAAACCCTTTCGATTCTTAACGCGAAATATCGTGATGTAAAATGAAGGTTTACACTGTACGTATCGCATTCGCAACGTTGCAGAGAATTTTTCAAAGAAAGGAAGAAAAATAACATGCAAAAAAAGGAAACAACATTTTTCCTTCGAGTTCCAAGAACTTGTGAAAATGTCGAAAGAAGACGGCGTTCCAGCCGCTTTAGGATACTGACGAGTTGTTTCTCTCGTGATTTCGTCGATGACGAACGAGAGAGACGTTGTTACGTGATATATTTTTATTCCTTGTATTTTTTTATCGCAACGATAGGCTAAAAATCATGTAAAACGTAGCATATGAGCTAACGTGCCAAAGGAGAGTGATGCGTGTATGCATGTATCGCGTGTTATGTGTATATGCGTGTATATATGTGTGTATATGCTGCGCGTGATCAAGAGACAAGTAAAAAAAGAAAACGAACGTGTAAAGAGAAATGGCAGAAAAAACTTTGCCAATCCTTTTCTGTATTCTGCTATCATAATTAGTACATTTGTATATCTATATGTACACACCTATGTACATACGTACGAACTGAACTATAGCAGCTCGAGGCTTCCTCGGTCGTGTTACAACGTGAAACAGTGGCAGTCCGAGTTTCCGGTTAAACGCCGCATATCTAGGACAGCTTTGTAACCGACGTTTCAGCCCACAATCGTAGTTGGCTTCCTTCGAGTACTGTAATAGTTTGCGCTATTTTTCCTATTGAACAGAAATATATTATATTAATTTTTTATTTTCGACATCCCGACATGGCATCGTTTTAATTGTGATTTGCGAAAAGATAATTGGGTTGGTGAAAAAGTAGTGTTAATTTTGTGAGTACAAGAATAAATCAATTTACTATAATTATTATTGATTACATATCCATAGTTTTTAAATCATTGGAATTTTGTATAAATATTATAAAATTGTTATGTGGTTTATTAATAAGTGTTATTTTCTATTTTTTTTTCTTTTGTATTTTCCAAAATATTTATAAAAAATTTATGTATATTGATAATTTTATTTTATTAATTTTATTAAATGATATTATTTTGTAATTTGAAATTCAATCAAATTTGATATTGACATGTACTTATATTTAACTTTCAATTTATTTTAAAAAAATATTTTTCTCAAAAACTTTTTTTAAATTTGTATTTTTTTTATTTTTTTTAAATTTGTATTTTTTTTATTTGAACGATTAAAAATAAAAATTGTCTTATTTTATTTTTAATTACTAGAATAGTATTAATTTGCATTTATTTCTATGCTCGGGTTGAAATAGAGAATATATATATATATATATAATACAATAAATAATATATCATTTATAAAGAAATTAAAAATTAATATAAATTTTTCATTGACGTTTCAAAAATATTTTATTTATTATTTAATTTAGCATTTCATGCTTATAAATTAATTATTATAAACAATATTATGAGCTATTTAAAATTGCTTGTCTTAACATCAAAAACATAACTTTCTCACCAACCTAATGAAAATGCATCAAAAAATAAACATTTTGTTCACTTTACAATTATTGCAAAATTGAATCTCTAATTTCAAGTGATCAGATATTTAATTTACTCGATATAATTTATCTCGAAGCTCATATTTTCGCTTTTATAGACTTGATACAGTACGGTTCAAGTACCACTTAACGATTATTATTATCAATATTCGATATCACATAAAAAGTTTGTTCATAAAAAAAGCTATAGAACCACATTTCAAATTCATAACAAATATTTGTGACTTGCAACGAATGATAAAAAATAAAAAAGAAATTCTACCTTAATCAATAACATGTTTTAATCGTTCAAAATAGAAAGAAATCACGAATAATGCTGCCCTCTTTAGTTAAAATCACTTATCTAATATTTCGAGAAATTTAAAGAAATTTTTATCATTTTATTTATTTTTTTTTTTATACAATAATTTTTACAATAATTTATACAAAAATTTTTTAATACAGTAATAAAAAAATATTTTTAAAAATTTTATATTTTCTAAAATATTTACATAAAAAATAAAAAAAACTTTGAAACTTCGTATATTTTAACATATCTTAAAAGAAAAAATTGTAAGATAAACTATCTTAACTATAGAGGGCAAAATGATTTCGAGCACGAACCAAAGGAAGCTTATTTTCGTAAGATTCATATAGACGGGAGATTAATTATTAGGTTACGCTGGTTAATTATGTCGCGAAAAGTTTATTTCTGTAGTAGGGGCTTGCGTAATCGTGTAGACGGACGTGCAACGGAAACGGTACTTAAGCGTGTAACGTGAACTAATGTTGGAACCCCGCGTGTTCGAGAGCACTTGTCGTTAGCACTTTATATAGGTTTCTTCGAAATATCTTGAAACCTAACACATTTACACTTCACACACACGTCATATATACATATACACATTATGCACACATACACACGACACATACACACGATGACCAAACCGATTCGCGAGCTTGAGAACATGCGATCATGCATAATTGATCAACAAAACGGCACAAAAGAAATGTGATTTATAAATTTTTCAAACTGTTAAGATCTCGTTTTTCAAATTTCAATATAAAAATAATTGCCAAGTAAAAGGAAAAAGAAGAAATGGAAGAGAAAGAAAAAGAAACATGTAAAATGTGTTGCATCCTGCTCAAAAATTATAAATAAATAAAAAAAAAATAAAAAATTGATATTTATCTTCTTTTATGTTTGTTAAAAGCAACATTATCAAAAGTTTGAAATGATTAACATGTTCCATAAACTTCAAGCATTTAAGAAATAAATAGGTTAGAAAATTTTTTCATCGAAAATAGATTTAAATAAATCAAATTATTCATATTTGTTATTTTAATTTCCAATTAATAGCAACATTAGAAAAAAATAGAATGAAAAAAGAAACGATTTCATGTAATTTAAATAATTTCAAATTTTTGATTGGTGATATGTTTGACAGTTTCGATCAGGATGCAAATCATTATATAGTATTTTAGTCGAATGAAGACACATAAACATATCATACATAACATAAAATACGCGGTTGGATCGCGTTATGTCACGTTCGATCATTTAGATTCGATTGTTTAAAAGATTAAGAAATAAAAGTACGGGCTGTGAATAATGCACTTTCCTTATGAAGTCAGAAATCTCACGAAACCAAATACGAGGACGAACATGATAGAATGACGTTAACATATTTAAATATATTCTTTGCGTGCTATCTCACGTCGATAGAATAAAATATTGGATATTAGAAGAACAAGTTTCGGAAATTAATACATACACGCGCACACACACATACGGTCCTTTATACACTCGGTAAGTATATCCTTTAATCGTTGCTCCTACTGATCAAGTTTCAAGCGGTGTTACTCTAGTGAAGTGATCGACATTGCTCGTTTTCATGGTTATCAAATATCGAACGCTCTTCCCTCTACCATGTTCTTATTACAGTGACTTGCATTTATATTCAGACACCATAGTATGCAAGAAATTATTGCTCCATATATATATATTTCTAATAGTGTTATTAAATTGATTGTTTTTATAATATTAGTTCTTCAAAATTAATAGAAATAAAAATTTTAATCTAATCTTGCATAGACAACTATATTTTTTTTTAACTTCATAAATTTTTAATCGAGCCTGTTTTTTTATAAATTTCGAAAAAATTTGATATATTTATTAAACTCTTTAATTTAGTACAAATAATCATTAAATTTTTTAAAAGAAAATTTTTCAGTTTCATTTAAGAAAAAAAAATTTTATTTAAAATTTTCTCTCTATTCTTAACAACTCAGGTTGTTTATAGAGGATTAATAAACATGTAATTTTTATACAATTTAAGCAATAAAATTTAAAATCACAAAAATATTGGAATACAATAATTGCCTCGTTGTAATAAATTATTGATTAAATTTTTAACCAATATATAATATTTGTAAACATAAATATAAAATTTATATAACTTATTCATTATTCGAATATTTTTATAATATTAAATTTTATTATTTAATTTATTATGCAAAAAACTATGTGCATTAAATAAATGAAATTTATATTTCTATGTATAATATTGACTAATATGAGTATTTCAATTTATTAAAAAATAATCGATTCAATAACGCTATTTTTAAACAAATGTACTCACTGTATATTGAACAAGCTCATTAAAATTGATGAAATTTAAAGAAGAATGATATAAATAAACATCGCAAGTCGAAGAGATTTCTTTATAATAAGAATTCTACCAGATATTACCATTATCGAATAATCGATAATATATTAACAATAAACGATTAAGATAAACAAGCGGAAGATTTAAAGATGCCGGGATACGTCGATGAAATTAATCAATTCGTTACAAACGAAAATTTTTTTTTATTAATGATTATTATCATTATTGTTATTACTATTACTACTACTATTCTACTATACTTACTACTATTATTACTACTATTTATACTACTGCTGCTGCTATTACTATTATTACTATTACTATTACTACTTATACTACAATTATTGGTGCTAGCTACTACTATTTTCTATTTTGTTTCGATCGTTGTTCCCTCTAAATCAGTGTTTCCCAATTTGTAAATTTTATATAATTATTTACATAAAAAATTTCATAATAAAAATTTTCAATATTTATTTATTTCAATATATTTATGAAAATACAATAAATTACATGAATAAATTACACAATTAATCATGTGGACACAAAATTATTAAAAACTCATCATGATCATATGATATTTTAAATCATAATGGTGTAAATCACATATACAATATATTATATTTTCAAAAACTGACATTCTGTAAATTCTATATATTTTTCATATTTCTCAATTCTGCTATTGGTTTTGTGTATCTAGTGATTTAAAAATAATTTATATTATAAAATATATAATATTTCATTTTTTATTAGCTTATTTCACTATGATTTTCATCTCTCAATATATAAATATGAAATATTTTATATTTGTTATAACACAGATGTTTAATACTTCACTGATATTTTTATTGGACCTTGTGTGTGTGTGCGTACGATTCATCTCTAAAAATAAAATGTTATATTATCTTGTTAATAATAATATATTTTTAATTTTTTTGGTAATTAAGAAAAAAATCGCAATTTATTTAGTTGTTATGAAAAGAGATCGTGTCTCAAAATCACTTTGGGAAACACTGCTCTAAATGATTCTTCGTTGAGCGATGAATTTTATACTCGCCTCGGGTGGCGATATCAGCATATCGTAAGAAAATAAATATTTTCGTAGGCAAATACGTTGATAATTATAAAGATAAATACAAATTTTTATTCGTTGAACGTTTAATCCATGTTTGGTTGCTATGCGCAATTTTCTCTTTATGCGTAAATTTACAAAAGGCACGACGATTGAAACGAAGAGAGTAGCGTAAACAGGTGA